ATTCCTGGGTCAGGAAGATCTGGGGGGAAGGGATAGGCTACCCACTCCAGTATTCTTGGGCTTCCCTTGTGGCCCAGCTGGTAAAGAATCCACCTGCAATGTGGGAGACCTGGGTTCAATCCCTGGGTTGGGAAGATCTCCTGGAGAAGGGAAAGGCTACCCACTCCAGTATTCTGGCCTGGAGAATTCCATGGACTGTATAGTCCATGGGGTCACAAAGAGTCAGACATGACTGAGCGACTTGCACTTTCATTACTTTCACTTCTGTTTTAATGGGGGATACAGTATAATGACTCAAATATTATTTACTTACTGGTGTAGAACTATCTTGACATCATTTCTGAAGCAATGGCATAGTAGGTGTTATCATGAGCGTAATAGTTTTGAAAAGTAAAAACCAACCTACTAAAGAGAAACCAACTAAACAGGGGTTTACATGTGAAGGAGTTCTCACACAGAATTTATAGCAGTTTCTTTACATAATACGTTTGGTAGCCACTATGTTATGTAGTCATTATTGTGCAAAGAGTGGAAAATTTTACTTTGGAAGCGGCTCTCTTTTGTTGACAATGCTATTTGATAATATTGATATTCTAATATAGTACTCACACATTGGACATTTAGAAATATCTATCATCCTTTGTGAATAATGACACTCAAACTACCCCTGTGGGAGTATATAGATAAGATGATTATTTTCATTTTCTAGATAAGGAAACTGAAATGAAATTCTTTGCCGAAGGTCAAAGAACAAATCACTGGCAGAATAAGATTAGAGCAGTGAGTTCTTGATTTTCAATCATTTGCTCAATCATCTAAGTCACATTGTTTTACTCAGTATGAGAGCAGATTATTATCAGTCAGTAGGAATAAGGCTATGCCCAGATGATGCAAGAAGACCAGCTGAAAAATGAAAATCTGCTCATTCAACCATTTGTTTATCTGTAAAATGCCGAACTGCTCATTATACTGATATTTTTCACTAAGCCTAATAAGTTGTCTTCATGTCTCACAGACACAGACTTTAACTTAATGTTTATACTGCATTCTAAAGTTAATTTCTAGAGGCTCTGTCTTTTAAAAGCTTAATTTTGGAATATCAGAATTACTTAATATGTTCTGAATAAGTTAGTCATGTGGTAAATTGAGGAAAAAACTCTTTGAAAGTGTTTTTGGATGAAATCTCACTCCTTTGTGCAGTGGTAAACAAACACCTTTTCTAACATTAGAGACTAAAATAAGATCTCACCATTAGGAGAAAATTGGGCTTTTATAACTGCCACCAACTCCTTGTAAATGCATTTGGGCCTGACATATGGGACTGAAATCATAAGACTGCATCTGTATCACATGGATTTCTGCACAGTCAGTTACCTTGGTTGTGAAGGTGGCCAAATAATCAGGTGACCAGTGTCATGATCCTTATAGAAGGTTGTGGGCAGAAATAGCTGAATTCTTTCAATGTTCAATAAGCCTTTATTGTACTCCACATACATACTTACCTGCATTGCTGCAATATATCCTAATTCTTGGACATGTTCTGGTAGATTAATCAGTTGGCAAGTGAAACATTTTCCCCTAGGTCAAATAGTATAAATGTGAGTCAAGACACAAGCTTGGGATGTCTGGCCTTCTAGTAGTTCAGTTCATTCAACTGTGCTGCTCCTGAGTTTGTTGATGGATGATCCCATTGTATAGCTAGCCTTGTATGTTTTGCAGTTAAACTACTAAAATACTTTAACTAGTCTGAACTCAGTAATTCACAATAAGAATGGCATGAGCATTATCATTCACTCATAGCCTGTAGAATGTAGAATAGGTTTGGTTCAATAATAAAGATTACGGTGAACTAGAACAGGAATAGAAAACTCCTTTTTCCTTGGTTCTGAGATCATCTGAATTCAATCTTTATTAGGAATGGGCAATTTAGTAATGAGTGTGGACTCATTACTAACAAATTAAAACCACTTTAAGGAAACAACATGAATTTTGGATCTGATTACTCAGTAATATAACATTAAAAGTGGTTTCATCCTAACCCAGTGTATTGAATTTACCTTAGGTGGCTTCTGTGATCTAATTTTAAAATATATATGTGTGTGTGTGTGTATATATATATATATATATGTATATATATATATATATATGTATATATATATATATATATATCTTATAATCTTGCCTAGACTGAAAACTTGAATGAACTATACATATATAGTCTGTGATGTTGATCAGAGATGAAGTACACATCCTGTGTTATTGCAAAACTTAAAAAATTAGATATAAACATGAATGATTGTCTTTTAATTGTATTTATATGCTGGGGTTAGGTTTGTTTTCCTCTACTTAAAAATAAAATTCTGGGGAAGTCTTGACTTCAAAGTATTGATATTTGTAAAATTTGTTGCTGTTGTTGCCCAGTTGCTAAGGCATGTCCAGCTTTTTGCCACCCCACAGACTGCAGCATGCCAGCTTCCCTGTCCTTCACTATCTCTGGGAGTTTGTTCAAATTCATGTCTGTTGAATCAGTAATGCTAGCTATTTAATTTTGCAGCAGACATTTCAGAAGCTTACATTTCATTTCAAATCTAAAAGTTAGTGACATCGTTCATTAAACTAGCAAATATTTATATTAGTTGTTACCCTGTGTCAGGATCTGAGTAGATATTAGTTCAAGACACAGAGACCCTGTAATTCACAGAGCCACCTCTACTGAGATAAATCCACCATCACAATTAACCTGGGTGATGTGAGAGAAAGGAGCTGGAAAGGTACACGCAACAGGGTGATGGGAGGAGGCTGGTCTGAGGATTTAAATTGAGACCCGAAGAAGATCTGGCTTTTAGAAAATTCATGAAAAAACCATTCAAAGGGTATTTAAGGTTGTAGGGTGGGAATGACTTTTTCTTTTGGTAATGTGTAGTTTTCGCAATTTGTAGTTTTCTGAAAGGACTACAAAAAGAAATGAGAATTCAGAAAGAGAAAACAACAGTTAATTATAAGTGTTGGAACATTAAAGTAGAAACGTTTGGAAATTTTGAAATTTTTTAAAGCCTGCTCTTTTATTTTAATGTTGAAGAAATGGAGGTTCAGTGACATTGCCGTGTTTTGGTCATGTACCAGTTAGAAAATACTGGTTTTTACAGTTGAGAGCTTAAATTTTTACCTATAAATAGTTGGTAAACATTTACTTAGGTTTTCTCTATAATCAATAGCAATTGCCAAAGCCATATCAATCATTGGGATTTGCATCCCTTGTTGAGAAAAGCACGAGTATTTTGACACTTCAGTCAACTGTTGACTTTAGTCTCTGGCTTAGAAGTCACTAGGCCTTTTGTGATGCATTAAAATATAATTCTTAAGTTTAATTTCCATGTAGTCCATTTCAGTTTGGAGCCAGATATGGTCCATCTTGATTAAAAAAGAATTTTTTTATTGGAAAAAAGGTGGTGATGCTTCCCATCATTTCCAGTTAGAGACATATTGCTTTGCTAGACATCTCAGTTACAATTTATGTACTATTCTTTTTGATAAATGCAAACTTGAATTTTCAGGCCAATATTTATATAAATTGCAGGTGTGATTTATAACATAGCTACCTACTTCTAATATTTTTTATTGCTTTGTGGAGAAATACTTTGAGGTTAATATTGTTTACATCTCTCTTTAGTTTTCTTTTTAGCTTTTTAATCCATATACAGAAATCTGTATGAGTTTAGTTCTATATCCTAATAAAACCCCTCTATTTGGTGATGATTATATAAGGCAATTAACATTGTCTCAAGAGTTATAGTCAATGGGAATGGTAACTTGACAGATCAGAGAGTACAAAATATGTTCTAGACACTTAAAAAATTATGATTTAAGAACCTTGTGTTATTTTTGGAAGAGCTAAATATTTGGCTGCCCTCTGCATTTAATATAAAGAACTGAAAGTAAAATATTTTCATGTGTGCAAATGATATGATTTTTTTTCAGTTTTATTGAGGTTTAATTGGCAAAAAGATATTTAAATGTACAACATGATGATTTGAAATACATATACGTCATGAAAGGATTCCCTCTCCCTACATCGAGTTAATTAAAATATCTGTCACTTCATATATTTCTCTCTTTTCTTTGGTGAGAACATGTGACAATTACTCTCAGCAAATTTCAACTATATAATATAGTGTTATCAGCTACTGTCACCATGTTATATACTAGATGTTTAGACCTTATTCATTTTACAGCTGAAATTTTATGCCCTTTTATCAGTTTCTCCCTATTCCTATTCCTCCCATGCCACCCCCAGGCAGCTATTTGTCTACTCTATTTCTATAAGTTCATTTTTTAAAAATTCTACATATAAATGATACTATGCAGTGTTTGTCTTCCTCTGTCTTATTTTACTTAGCACAGTGGCCTCCAGTTTCATTCATTGTTGCAAATGACAGGATCTCCTTTTTTTTTTTAGGCTGAATAATGTTTTTCTCTGTCTCTCCTTCCTTCCCTTTCTATATCTGTATCTATATATCTATACATAGATTTTGTTTCCTGAGAGCTCTTTTATTTCAGTGTCCATGTTATATAATTTAATGGGAGAAAATTATCCTTTGTCTCTGTACCAGAAAGAACTGTTTTTAAATATCTTTTGTGATTTTATCTTGTGAACACTGTGATTTCTGAAACTATTTCCTTCTTTACATTGTTAGAATAATACAGTCACTTTTATAGCTTGTTTTAAACAAGTATACTAAGCCTCAAAGCTTGGTTTTTTTAGTGCTAACCATACTCTTTTATTTTTATATTTCCTTTAAAATATGATTTTCCCATTCTTTTTTCCTTTTTATTCTGCTATATATGCTTTTGTAAGCCTCCTGAAGCCTTTTCTGAAAGAAAAGTTGAGAAATAAATAGAATTTGTTGAAATTTTATTCCATGCATGGAACTATCATCACAAAATAAGCAAATCTCTTTTGCTTTGGCAAGTTTATTAAAAGGACTTATTCTGGGTTCCAGTTTTAGATGAAGGGGTTGTGAAACACTACAGAATCAGACAACTGGATGAAGGGGGCTTTTTCCTCACCCGGAGAAGAACCTTTTCAACACTGAATGAATTCGTGAGTCACTACACCAAGACAAGTGATGGCCTGTGTGTCAAGCTGGGAAAACCATGCTTAAAGGTGAACTGCTTTCAAGCTGTGTTCCTTAATTTTGAAGTCACTTTTTTCCTTCAGATATTGGAGTTTTTTGTCATATGATATGTTAGCTCAGGAAGAAAAAGGTCATTGAACATCTAAGGCATGGATAGGCAAACTATGGCCTATGAGCCAACACTACCCCACACTTATTAATACTTTTATGAAAGTGTAAAGTGTTCGTCGCTCAGTCGTGCCTGACTCTTTGTGACCCCATGGACTGCAGCCCACCAGGCTCCTTTGTCCTTGGGATTTTTCCAGGCAAGTATACTGCAGTGAGTTGCCATTTTCTTCTCCAGGGGATCTTCCCGACCCAGGGATCGAACCCCGATCTCCTTCTCTGCTTGCAGATTCTTTACTGACTGAGCTACCAGGGAAGCCCCAATATTTTTATAAATAAGTTTTATTGGAACATAGACTTGCTCATTCATTTACAATCGTCTTTGCCTTTTTGCTGTAATTTTGCAGAGTTTGGTAGTTGAAACAGAGACTATATGGCTCACAAAGTCTAAAATATTTACAATCTCATTCTTTTCAGAAGAAGTTTGCCGAGTCCTGACCTTAAGCAATCACTGAACACAGAAAATATTCTTTCTTTGCACTAAGACACTAATCTAACATCCTGATATTGGAGCATTTAATGATATGGCTGGAGGAGAAAAAAGTGCTGGAATATAATTCTTACTTAGATGATCTGTATTCAAGAATATTAACATGAAATGACCAGGTTCATTATCCAGTTGTCTGCATATAATAGATATCATTTAACTGTTGAACAGTTTGTTTGGCCTGGTTTTTGGTGGAAGGAGATAATATTTATAGAATTTTTATCTACATCTGTCATTAAATTCCATTGTTTGCATGTTTTACCTAAATGTGTTTAAAGTTAGATAGTGGTTAGTCACCCTAGTTGGGCAAAGCCTCAGCTCTTCATCAGAGTTCAGGTCTCATGTACAATCAATGGTATAGCCAGTCCTGTGGTTTATACCTGGATGACTGCTGAAAGCTTCCTGGTGATGCTTGATTATAATGCTATAGACAAATAGAAGCCGAAGAATTCTGATCATTATGTAGGGAATTTATTGAGCTAAATCCTGCCAGGTGAATATGCAATTTGGTATAAGTATATACATCTTGGGGTATCCACAGTGGCTCAGTGGTAAAGAATCCACCTGCCAATGCAGGAGACGAGGGTTCGATCCCTAGGTCGGGAAGATCCCCTGGAGGAGGAAAATGTAATCCACTCCAATATTCTTGCATAGAAAATCCCATGGACAGAGGATCCTGGTGGGCTGCAATCCATGGGGTCACAAAGAGTCAGACACGACTGAGCAACTGAGCATGCATGCATATACATCTTAGATGGTACAGAAATGACCTCACAAGAGTATTTAAGCTTATGCTAAGAAATAGCTCACCTGATACCAAGACATGACTTAAAAATACTTAGTTTAACTAATAGTGTTGAATTCAGATAGGGAAAAGATTTACAAAACATAGGTGACCTTCTGTGCCCTCAAGATGCCAATGACTTAGTGGAAGAAATAAGATAAATATCTAATGACAGATGACAAACTAGACTGTGAAGTATGAGAGCAGAGGCCTTGCCTGTTTAGTTTACACAATGAAGCCTAGTTGGTGCTTGAAAAATATTTATTTATTAAGTAAATGAATGAACAGATAAGTAAATTTAATTGAAAAAAGATGAAATTAATTATGAGAAATTTGATGATACATATGGTAGATGCTATGGGTCAGAGAGTTGGGGAAATAACTGTGGATGAGATGGAACTTCATTTGACCTTGACCCTTGATTTAGGTAGGCAAGGATACAGAGAGAATGCTCACCAGGTAAGTGGGAGAAGGACATTTGGGTTTGGGGTGGGACAGATGGACAGCAAGGTGCCTGATGTAACAGGATTTGGGAGGAGAGCAGCTGGATGAGGTAATAGCACAGATTCTACCACTATTGCTTTTCATTTTAAAGTAATTGGGATAAAATTTACAATATTTTGTTTTTAAGAGTGATGTCTCTAAAACTACCTAGGTTATTATTTTCAAACAAAAAAATTGTTAAATATAACTTTTTTCTTACCAGTATTCTAATTATTCTGTGAAACAGATAGAAGTCCCAGCTCCCTTTGATTTGTCATATAAAACTGTGGACCAGTGGGAGATTGACCGCAACTCCATACAACTTTTGAAGCGATTAGGATCCGGTCAGTTCGGTGAAGTGTGGGAAGGCCTGTGGAACAATACCACTCCAGTAGCAGTAAAAACATTAAAGCCAGGTATGGGCACCAGGATGGCATACATTGATTTTTATAACCTACTTGCCATTATAAATGTTCAAGAGGTCATGGGACAGCTGGTTTGGACACCAAGCAAGTGTTTTGCTAGGTGACCACAGTACTCGATCCCAGCACCTGAGATTTTCACAATTACTGCAGATGTGTGGTTTTGAACCCTAATCCTGTTGAAAACTGAGACTAACCTTTACTGTCCAATCTTATCATCTTTTTTCCAAAAAAGCAGCAGCTAGCTATCCATCCTAACATCACTCTCTAAGGAAGGCCTTTCACAGGTCAAAAGAGAACAAAAAAATTAGATTCTTATATTAAAAAAAAAGCTCCACGATAGTTTTCTCTCCAGCAGGAATAATTATTATTGATTTACAGTGTAATAGCAGCAAACAGCTTTGGTGATTGCTTAAATGTCTTCACTTCACTGGGGCCATTAATCAATCTTCTCAGCTATTTATTGCTTAGCAGACTGCCATGCAATAAAGACGAGCCTGAAATCAACTCCCACAGTAGCTTTGACAGGCAAAAATTAATATTTAATGTTGCATTGAGATTGGGTCTGCTTGCTGTGCAGCTGGTCCAGCTTCCCCTGCAGAAGCTCCTGATGTCCTCTGGTTCCAGCTCTAGTGGATGGTCTGATCTGGCAATGATTTAAGCTTTGCTGATGGCTCAGATGGTACTGAATCTGCCTGCCATGCAGGAAACCTGGGTTCAATCCCTGGGTTGGGAAGATCCCCTGGAGAAGGGAATGGCAACCCACTCCAGTATTCTTGCCTGGAGAATTCCATGGATGGAGAAGCCTGGCAGGCTGTAGTCCATGGGGTCACAAAGAGTTGGACACAACTGAGCAACTAAAACATACATGTACATAAGTGGCCAGTATCCCATGAATCTGATAACCACCCAAAGCATCAACACAGAAACATATTGTAGATAAATTGTCTGAATCATAATTGATTCAGATAATTATGAAAGATCATAATTGATGCTTTTACTGGAAAGTTCATGAATCAGATTATTTGGGGGGTGGGGGCAGGATCCCTCTATATATGTAATTGACCATTGGCCAAACTAATTATAACAACCCTAAGTGGTCCCTTATTATGGTGTGGGTGCCTCTTTTATTCTTAGCTCCATTTTGCCACAGTGATTCAAGACTTTAATCCTATTTGATTATGTGGAGCAAACCAGTGGTAGAAACTGAAATGAGGGAGCTCAGTAAAAATTGATGGAGAAGAGAATAGGCCATTTCCCCATATTCTTCCGCTGTAAGTCCTTGCCTCTTCTCCTTAGTCAGTGAAGAGATATTTATAGTTGATCTGTTTGGTTTTCCTAAGAATATGATTGCGAATAATAGTACAAATATGGTCAACACTCATTGAAAACATATGTGCCAGACAATACTATTACCCTGACATTGATTCTATGATGTTGGTGGAATTATTAGTCATGTTTTAGAGATGAAGAAACTGAGGTTCAGAGATGTTTGGTAATTTGTTCAAGATCACAAAGTGAGGTAGGGCTTGATTGAACCTGGGTAGTGAACTTTTAGAGTCTCAAATGGCATACCAAAGGATAGATTGCCTCTGTGAAATAGACTGCAGGTCACATGTAACTCCTTCTAACCAAGTATTAATGAACAAGTCAGAGTATTAGCTTGGAGTGTCAAAGCTTATCCATGCTTGAGGTTCAAATATTAGCTGTGAAGTCTTCAAAATGAGAGAATAGGAACAAAATGGACTCTCTGAACATCAGTGAAAATGTTTGCACTATTGATAGTGAAATGACAGTATTCCTTCAATTACATCAGTGACTCTGAAACATCATATTGTATAAGAAATAAAATATTTTTAAATGACTAATGAAATGTAAACTCCAGGTAGCCTTCTTTCTATTAAATTCTATGTGATTGTAACTACTTGGCATTTTGCATGTTGAGTCAGAGTGGAGTCAATATAAATGCAATTTAACTTAGATGAGTCTGCAAAACAGGCTCCAATGTCTCCCTTATCAAGCTATTAAAACTCCAACTGTGGAGGTATTAATACATGAGAAAATGTGGAATGTCAGTTTCAAGTGGTGAAAAAAACATTAATTTGGGGGAGGGACCCATGAATGTTTTCTGCTTGGTCTATACTATATGTCCCTACAGAATTAAAGACACAAACATGGTAGAATGTCATTGCTTTTTAGGATAATTTTCAAGCTCTTCCCACAGTGGGTACCAAGGACAGGGCAATGATTAGTCTTTGGATTCTGGGCAGAAAAACTCACTGCAGTAATTAAACATTCAGTGTCTTCCAGTGTTCATGTTATTAGACTGTCTTCTCTTTGTATCCCTAAGATGCCTGCCTTATTTTATCAATTAGACTGTCAGTCTCTCCTTTTCCCTTCATTTTTCATATGGACCTGAATCAACCTCTCTTCACCTGCAGGTCATAATATATAAGCTGCACAGCCCTGATGCACCAACACATCAGTTATTAGGTTGCCCTGGTTGAACTGATTCTCTTCCTTGATAAATCTGAAGATTTGTGGCACCAATACTCTTACTTTACTGAGAGGCAGGAAGCAATCTCGGTGATTCCCACCAGGCTGCTCTGAGGACAGGAATGCCTCAATAACATAAAGTGATTTTCCCCTCTTCTTGTTTCAGGTTCAATGGATCCAAATGACTTCCTCAGGGAGGCACAGATAATGAAGAACCTAAGACATCCAAAGCTTATCCAGCTTTATGCTGTTTGCACTTTAGAAGATCCAATTTATATTATTACAGAGTTGATGAGACATGGAAGTCTGCAAGAATATCTCCAAAGTAAGCTGAAGACTTAATAAAAGGAAAAAAAAAGAGGAATTTAGTTTAGTGAATCCTATAAATGTCAATTTAGCAAGCCTTCTATAACCCAAAGGATATTTACTATGGCATATCTGTGACAATGAATGTCTTAACATTGAATTGCTCAACTACTTTTTAATAGGCTGTATGCTGTGCACTCAAAGGGAGGAAAAATATTTATGTAGTGGAAGAACAAATTGTTCACCATAGACATATCAGAGTACTTAAATGTAATGTGGAAAATTGAAGAATAGATGTTTTGCCTGATCCTTTGTTTCCTACAGTAACTAATTGAACAATATCAGTCATGGAGCAGTATTTTCCATGGCCCAGAATTAGGAGACATAGAATATTTTGGGGGGAAGGGAGGGAAAGTTACCCTCATTTTCATCTTTGTCAGTTTTTGACAACACTGTGCTTATTGGTATTTAAAATACTTCCAACTGCTAGAAAACATTAGAATCAGTTCAGTTCAGTTCAGTCGCTCAGGTGTGTCCGACTCTTTGTGACCCCATGAACCACAGCATGCCAGGCCTCCCTGTCTATCACCAACACCCGGAGTCCACCCAAACCCATGTCCATTGAGTCAGTGATGCCATCCAGCCATTTCATCCTCTGTCGTCCCCTTCTCCTCCTGCCCTCAATCTTTCCTAGCATCAGGATCTTTTCTAATGAGTCAGCTCTTCGCATCAGGTGGCCAAAGTATTGGAGTTTCAGCTTCAACATCAGTCCTTCCAATGAACACCCAGGACTGATCTGCTTTAGGATGGACTGGTTGGATCTCCTTGCAGTCCAAGGGACTCTCAAGAGTCTTCTCCAACACCACAATTCAAAAGCATCATTTCTTCAGTGCTCAGCTTTCTTTATAGTCCAACTCTCACATCCATACATGACTACTGGACAAACCATAGCTTTGACTAGACGGACCTTTGTTGGCAAAATAATGCCTCTGCTTTTTAATATGCTGTCTAGGTTGGTCATAACTTTCCTTCTAAGGAGTAAGCGTCTTTTAATTTCATGGCTGCAATCACCATCTGCAGTGATTTTGGAGCCCAGAAAAATAAAGTCAGCCTCTGTTTCCACTGTTTCCCCATCTATTTGCCATGAAGTCATGGGACCGGATGCCATGATCTTAGTTTTCTGAATGTTGAGCTTTAAGTCAACTTTTTCAGTCTCCTCTTTCACTTTCATCAAGAGGCTCTTTAGTTCTTCACTTTCTGCCTTAAGGGTGGTGTCATCTGCATATCTGAGGCTATTGATATTTCAGGCTTAAAAGCAGACATATACTATTACTTTATTTTTACATCTGCTTCCTGTAGTCTGAGAAGACTTAATGGTACTGTAGAATTTTGATGTTTATTACAAATGAATAATTTAATAAACAGAAATATTATAAGCATTAAAATGAGATGTTCAAAGAAATGGAGATCAAGTACTGAGAGAACAATTCATGCTTAAAGAAGAGGCATTTTCTTTACTTTCTTGACGTGTCAGAGGGGGACTGATACAATGTATGAGGTAAAGAGAGGTGAGAATAACAGAATAAAGATATCAGAAAGATAGGAGAATTTTCTTATTTCAGGGTGACTGGTGAAGCTGGTGATATTAAATTGCAAAACTAGATAAGAACAAAGAGCATAAGACCTGCCAACTGATGTTAAAAACAGAAAATATACCTAGCTCCCTTGCATAAAGATAAAATATTTAACAGTCCTGTGTTACCCACCATAGAGAGACTAACCTCAGCACTGACTCCTTTTGCCTTATCCCCAAGGACAAAAGTACAGGTGCCATCTCAGGTTATCTGTAACAAAAATGTTTTGTCAAATGATAAGCCTTCATGCTGTTAAATAGCACTGTCAATTCTCAGTCCTAAGAACTATCAACAGTGTTCAATTCAATGGATACTCTCTCCTTCTGGAACCACTACCTTCATTTGGCTACTGGGACATGTCATCCAATGGCCTTTTCTCCTTTTTTTCTTTCTGGTTCTTCTCAATTTATGTGATTTCCCTCATCTCCCTGACCTCTGGATATCTTGGGATTTTCCAAGACTCTTTTGCAACATCACTAGATTTCTTGCTAATCTCAACACTCTTATTGTTTAATAATATGTTTTACCAATTGCCCAAATCATATCCCTCCATTACTTCAGAGTCATATATCCAACTGCCTTTGTAACTTCTCTATGTGAATGCTGTATCAGTCTGGATGATGTGGGATAATATGGGTATAATGCAGTAATAAACTCCTGCAAATCCCAGAGGCTTGACACAAGTATTTATTCTTGCTCATGCTACATATGAAAAATAGACTGGCTGGTGTCTCAGGTCTGTTGATCCCCTGTCAGGAGCCAGAAATATGACTAATCTCATTCTGTCTCTTAAAGTTTCTGACCAGGAGTGACAGCGGTGATTTCTGTGCCCTGTTCATTTGGTTAAATCAAGTCAAAGGGAAGGGGAGCACAACCCTCTAAAGTACTTAAAAGCAAGAAAAAAAAAAAATTTATAAATAGCCCTCATTTCTGCTACATATGTCTATTGGATATCTCAAAATAACATGTCCAAAAACCAACCTCTGATATTAGCCTTGGTAATCTGCCCCTCTTGAGGTTTTTCCTTCTCTGATGATGCCAACACACAGGCTTACTATCTCAATCTTCCCTACTCTCACATCCTATATCAGACCAACCAGAAAATCCCACTGGCTTGCTCTTGAAATATATCCAGGATTTTACCACTTCTCAACACCGCTACTCCAGTGCAAATCATCATCAACTTTCTCCTGGTTTCTGCAGTAGCCTTCTAATTGGAGTCCCTCTTTAGGTTCTTAACCCCTTACATTTCTTCTTAACACAGTAGCTGTGGTGCTAAATCTCTTCAGTTGTGTCTGACTCGGTGTAACCCTAGGGCCTGTAACCTGCCAGGCTGCTCTATCCATGGGATTCTCCAGGCAAGAATACTGGAGTGGGTTGCCATGTCCTCCTCTAGGGGATCTTCCCAACCCAGGGATCTAACCTGTGTCTCCTATGTCTCTTGCATTGCAGGTGGATTCTTTGCTCACTGAACCTGGGAAGCCCCTACTCATTTTGTAATGCATGATTTATTTAGATAGCTTATTTTTAGTCTCTTCTAAAATACAACTCAGTTTTAGTGCTTGAACAACGTCAGGCACACAGAAGGTGTGCACTAATTGTGTGTTGACTAACTGAATGAATAAATGATGAATAGATTAAGTTGGGGTTATTCTGAACCTAATCTGGGACTTGGGGTTACACTTGTTTTAAGACTCTTGATATTCAGCTTGAATGCCAAGGTACACTTATATTACATTGCAGACTCCTTTGACATTGAGGATTTCTGTGGCTGTTGATGTGTTTTACTCAGGGTCGAGCATGAATTCTGTTGTCTTTTGGGTTGATCCATCAGGGTCGAGTTGACAAAGGCCTTCATTTGCCAGGATTCTTAGTAGCCAGGGGGAATAAGGAAGGTGTGCTCATTACAGGCAATTCCTTCCGAATCAAGAGGGTTTCATTTCAACAAAGTGATCTTAAAATGAATCTGCCACTCTTAAACAGACCATCATGATAAATATTATTAAGCTGAAAGGCTCTTGAGTAATGGAACATAATGAAAATATTTCCTTGCTGCAGATGTAAATTGTCGCAGGTCTGTGAACCTTTATATCAGTTTTGACATAGGGCTGTTGTATTAGAAGTGTGCTCTGAGGCTGTACACATTTCCTAGGCCACTGCAGTCTTTCAGGGCAGGAAATGTATTACTCAATTTCCTTCACTATTGTGCCTGTCAGTGAAAACCTTTTTATATCCACTGTAATAGGATTAGATGTTGTATTTGATAGTTGAAATAACACATTTTTCTATAGAACCATCTTTGTAGTCCCTAAGTTTGGCTGAATATTTTTTTTTGTAATAAACTTCTCCAAAATGGGAGAAGCCTGTCAAAAAACTTTAGCACTATGGGTAATTGATGCCTGGTATTTCTTATTGAAACTTAAAGAGGATAAATACCTGCATCTTTTAAGTTTAGTTGGGCTTGTTTGCTTTCCAATAAATACTTGTAGAGCATCTAGTATATGTCAGTATATTTTCTTTTCCTACGAATCAAGCTCCAGCATATAGTTCATCATTCTCATGGACAGTCCATCTATGGATTGATGCAGACAGGAATGTTTTCACTGAGATACCCTTTAACTGAACACAACTATATAGCTATTTACTGTGTGTATGAATGGAAGTCTCTTCATAGCCCCTGACTTTTTGGTGCTCTGGAGTGTCAGGCAGATTTTAGGGAGGCAGTATAGAATAAATTTATGAATCATGAAATTTCAGTCTCCAACATATCGTGGATTTGAATCTCTGCAACTTATTACCAGACAACCCCGATGGTCCAGTGATTAAGAATCTGCCTGCCAGTGCAGGGGACATGGGTTCGATCCCTGGTTGGGAGGATTCCACATGCAACTAAGCCCCCGCATCACGACTACTGAGTCTGTGCTCTGGAACCTGTGAGCCACAACTACTGAACCCAAGCATCCTAGAGCCTGTGTGCCCAACAAGTGAAGTCATGGCAGTGAGAAGCCTGTGCGCCACGACTGGGCAGTAGCCACAGCTCATGGCAACCAGAGGAAGCCCACACAGCAAGGAAGGCTCAGGACAGCCAAAAATAAATAAATAAATAAATATTAACAGAAATTATTATCTTTTCCTCCGAATGCCAGGAATCCCTATCAAACTGGGCAAACTACCTCCTGTAGTTGCTCTGAGTATGAGATGAGGTGACTTCCTGGAAATCAACCATATGGGATGGTTGGAGAGGAGCATATATTTTTAATTTTTTCCTGTAAAGACAACTATGTAGCACTTACTATGTGCCAGGAATGCTTCTAAGTCATACACTAGTATTAATTTAGTTCATTCTTCTAACAACCTCATGAATTCTTAGCATTATCATCCCCACTTAGCAGTTGAAGAAACTGAGGAGTGGAGAGGTTAAGTATAGTAACTTATTCAAGGCGGTTGAGTGAGAATTCAAACCCAGGAAATCTGGCTCCATAATCCATTAAACATTTTTTTTATTTACTTATTTCTGTGCCTGGTCTTCATTGCTGCCCAGGCTTTTCTCTAGCTGTGGCCAGTGGCTACTCACTAGTTGCTGTGCATGATTTCTCATCGCGGGGCCTTCTCTTGTTGCAGAGCGCAGGCTCTAGGGAATGCAGGTTTCAGCAGTCGTGACTTCCCGGGCTCCAGAGCACAGCCTCATTGTTGTGGAGCACGAGATGGGTTGCTCCGCAGCATGTGGGATCTTCCCGGATCAGGGATCCAGTACGTGTCTCCTGCATTGGCAGGGGGGTTCTTTACCACTGAGTCACTAGAGAAGTCCCAGGGTCCATATTTTTAATTGCATACATAGCACTGATCTTATTTTCCAAATATCAACCTTTTATCTATTGCTGCATGATAAATTACTCCAAAACTTAGTAGCTTAAAGCAGCAAACATTTATTTCCTCACAGCTTTTGCAATCAGGAATCCAGGTGCAGATGAGCCAGGTCTCCTGGCTCAGGGTTTCTCACAAGGCTGCAGTCTTTTTATTTGCTTGTAAACAGGATTGTTTTATTGTCTTCTCTTTCTGATAGTTCATTATTACTGTATGGAAATGTAAATGATTTCTGTATATTAGTTTTGTATCCTAAATGTTACTGAATTTATTTATTAGCTCTAGGAGTATTTTTGATGGGGTCTTTAAGATTTTCTGTATACAGTGTCATGTCATCTGCCAATAGTTAAAATTTTACTGCTCCTCTTCCAGTTTCTTTCTTTCTCTTGTTGATTACTGTGGCTCAGACTTCCAGTACTTTGTTAAATAGAAGTGGCGAGAGTGGGCATACTTACCTTATTCTGGATATTAGAGGAAAAACTTTCTGCTTTTCACTATTGAGTATGATGTTAGCTGTAAGTTTGTCATAAGTGGCCTTTATTACTAAGATCCTATTTAAATACACTGCTTGTATTAAACACACACACACAGTGCTTAGGTCTTTCTCATTTGAAAACTTTCCTTGGTTCTATTTAATTTCATTTTCTTAATTATAAAAGATGACAGACATGTAGAAAGGAACATGTATGATTTATGCCCTTTAGACATATAGATTTATTCTGTAATTGTAAAGTGAGCAAATAAACAACTATGCAGCTAATATGCAAATCAAGAATAAGAATATACTCAGCATTTCAGAAACTGCTCTAGTACGTTATCAATGACAATCCCTCACTATTATGAACTTCATGATAATTGCTCTCTCTTCCTTGACTTCATTTTCTTTGCTGACTTTTTGTTATTTTCCCTTCTTGATTAGGTTTTTGGAAATTGATTTCTCCTCTTGCTATCTTCATGTCCTCTATTCCCACTCAGCCCTTCACCCTTTATACCCCATCTCCAGTGAGATTTTCTTCCTGTCACCAATGTTTCCAATGACTTCTTAATTGCTATATTTAAGAAATGCTTTTTAGTTCTTATCTTGCTGGGTTTATTTGACACTGGTGGTGACATTCTCGTCTCAAACTTTTGACTGTTAGGATGTTCTCTCCTGGTTCTTCTCTCATTTTGTAGGCTGATTCCTCTCAGTTTTCTTGCAGGTTTATTTTTCTATGCCCACTGTAAATGTTGGCATTTCTGATGATTCTATCACCTCCCAGCAATCTCAGCAACTTTTAATGTTTAACTTCCACCCATAAACAATGACCCTTAAATCCATATCTCTAGCTGAATGCTTTCCTTTGAGCTTCAGAACTATATGCTTGTCTTCTTTTAGACATTTCCACTTGGGTAATCCACATGCATCTCTAGTTTCACAAATCTTAAACTGTTTAATTCGGATTAGGCAGCAGCAATGATAGATAATAAGAACAGGTAGACTTTACTGAGTTCTTCCTATATCAAGTACTATTTTAAGTGCTTTATGTGTATTAACTCATTTTAATTCTCTTTTAACAACTAATCCATGCGGTAAGGGCTTCCCCGGTGGCTCAGATGGTAAAGAATCCACCTGCAATCTGGAAGATCTGGGTTTGACCCCTGGGTTGGGAAGATCCCCTGGAGCAGGGCATGGCAACCCACTCCAGTATTCTTGCCTGGAGAATCCCCATGGGCAGAGGAGCCTGGTGGGCTACAGTCCATGGGGTCACAAAGAGTCGGACAGGACTGAGTGACTAAGCGCACCATGAGGTAATAATAATTATTGCTGTATATATGGGGAAATCGAGGCACAGGAGTATTAAGCAGCTTGCCCAAAGTCAGGGAGAAATCTAAGGTGGAGCCCTGATTCAAATCTGGCACTCTAGCTTCAAACCAATATTCCTCCCTCCTGCACTATCATTACCTCTCAGGTCAGGAGTCGTGTGTAAGACTCTTGCCCATAAATTCAATGCATTTTTGGTGACGTTCGGCTTATTCAGACAAGGATAATGATAGTTTGGATTTATGTGAGACAATTTCAATTCTCCAAAAATTTGAAGACATCTATTAACAGTATAGCATCTCAACTATGCAGGGATGGCTGGCACTGTTTCACAAAGCAACATAAGATAACACTAATCTCTCTTTAATTATCAGACTGATTCTACTACATAAATTTCCTGTACTTCATTATACAGCATCAGCAATAGGAGAAACTATGTCTATGAAAGGTATACCATGCCTAGAGAGATGAGCAACCTATTCTAAGAATAACAGACTAAGAAAGGAACTTTAACACATGTATCAAATGGAGTACAAATGTAATATACACAGTTTATAACTACACATATAGAGCCTACATTTTTTTTTTGTGAGCTAGTTTTTAAGAACAATATAATGGAAGAATGAGAACTTTTCATTGGCTCAACCATGCAAATTAGCATTATTTTTAGGTTCAAAGACTAAAACAAACTATACAATGAAAGAAATCCAGAACAACCAAATAACAATTTCCAGGAAGAGATGAGTCAGTGACATGTGGTATTCAAAATGGCAATAGCTGGACTCTTTCAGATATTTATAGCTGTGTTTGGATCATGTGGTTCTTTTGCTCCTTTCTCTCAGTAATGTTCATTTAGGGAAGGGAGGGACTCAGCTTTGAAATGTGTTTGAACTCTGAAAATTGCTGCCTCATTAACCCTTCATAGGAGATGGAACAGCTTGTACTGATTATATTTATTTTCTCAACAGATCATCACTATGGCACTTAATCCCACTGAGAGCTCACTCATCAGAATTCTTAGAATTTACTTCAATATTTCAAATGTTCTCCAAACTGAATCTCTTATTTTCTCTTTTTGCCTAGATGATGCTGGATCAAAAATCCATCTGACGCAGCAGGTAGACATGGCAGCCCAGGTTGCCTCTGGAATGGCCTATTTGGAATCCCAGAACTATATCCATAGAGATTTGGCTGCCAGAAATGTCCTTGTTGGGGAACATAATATCTACAAAGTGGCAGATTTTGGACTGGCACGAGTTTTTAAGGTGGATTTGGCTTTGGTTTAATTAGTTGGTAATGAGTCAAAAGGCTAACAGGCCAGTAGACTAGTAGCATTCCTGCTGTTTTTTTCCACAATATTTCTGAGAGTCCTGTGGTCCATAGATCATGTCAGGATACCAAGGTTCTACAGACAAAACTACCTTCTGTTTCCGTTCACCAACTTGAAAGAAAAAGAGAAAACAACGACCAACCATATGGGAAAGTATGTAATTAAGTTTGCGGTTGAATTAATGATCAGTTTTTCATACCCAGTCTCTGGTGGCTCAGTGGTGAAGACTCCGCCTGCAATGCAGGAGACGTGGGCTCCATCCCTGGGTGGAGACGATCCTCTGGACGAGGAAATGGAAAGCCACTTCACTATTCTTGCCTGGAAAATCCCATGGACAGAGGATCCTGGTGGGCTATAATCCACGGGCTCTCAGAAGAGTTGGACATGACTTAGCGATTAAACAACAATAGCCTCTGTCTGCCTTTGTTTATTTAGAAGCGGCACACTTTGTGCAGTTACTATATGTATTGCTGTTCACTTTGTGCCAGACTAATATGCATGCTGCCAGAACTCAACAGCAATCATTGGTTTTTAAAATACTGCCTCCCCCTACCTCCCTCAATTTTGTGACATCAGGCCACAAGACACTGATATGGAAAGTGTAGTATTAGCTGCTTTTCTCTGACTTTAAATGTTTATTTCTACATTATGTCCTAAAATATGAGTGTGGAGCATGAAACACAAGTATATGATTCTCTTCTGATCTTTATGACGTTGTCTTTTCTCTTTGTAAATTAATTAGATCCCCAGTGAGTTGATATAATAATTTAAATCATTTGGATCCTACTTTTCAGTAGTAGAAAATGGTTACATGGTAATTCTCAAAGTCAGTGGCTCTTCAATACCAGCAGTAAATAAAAAAAACAGGCTTTGTTTTCACTTTTTTTAGCTTGTTAAAGACCAGGTATAAAACCAGTGCTTCCAGCACTACTTTTAACACACAGTAGGATCTCAAACGGCTGTCCCAGTGGCTCAGCAATAAAGAATACACCCGCAAAGTAGGGGCCACAGGAGTCTTGGTTTCCACTGCTGGGTTGCGAAGATCCCCTGGAGGAGGGCATGGCAATGTACTCCAGTGTTCTTGCCTGGAGAATCCCATGGACAGAGGAGCCTGGTGGGCTACAGTCCAGGGAATTTCAGAGTCAGACATGACTGAAGCAACTTAGCATGCAGGCACAGGCTCTCAAATAGGGTTTCCCTGGTGGGTCAGATGGTAAAGAATCTGACTGCAATGTAAGAGATGGGAGATTTGATCCCTGGGTCAGGAAGATCCCCTGTATAAAGGAAAGGCTACCCACTCCATTTATTCTTGCCTGGAGAATTTCATGGACAGAGGAGCCAGGGCATTGCAAAGAGTCAGATAGGACTGAGTGACTAACACTTTCACTTCAGGCTCTCAAATAATGTTTCATTAATGACTAATTTGCTACTGTACTTATCACCTGAACTAAACTCATTTTGAATCTTTTCCCTCTATATTTTAATGAGAAGTAGATTACAGATGGATGAGGGCGGTCAAAAAAAATACCACTTTAACTTGGCTTGATTCCTTAATGCATTAACAGGTAGAGAATGAAGACATCTATGAGTCTAAACACGAAATAAAGCTGCCGGTGAAGTGGACTGCGCCTGAAGCCATTCGTACTAATAAATTCAGCATTAAGTCCGATGTGTGGTCATTTGGAATCCTTCTTTATGAAATCATTACTTATGGCAAAATGCCTTATAGTGGTGAGTAATTCTAAAGCGGGCCTTTCTGCTGTAGGTCACTTACTTAGGTGTGACTTTAACTGCTTTGCCCAGACTTAGAGGGCAGAGTTATGAGTCTGACCACACCATGCGCCTGTGGGAGCATAATAGATAAAATTTGATGATAATGATTTGCATTAATGAGGTGCTTTATTGCCTCCTTATCCTTTGCTCTTGAATTTCCATCTTATAGACAGTACTTGCTGCAGGATTTAGTCTTGACAGCCTGGGAAGAGAATGGAGGACTTCACAGTCTCTCCGAGGAAGTCAATTTGCTTTGTCCTCTAGGGTATCAGTATCTATGGATTTAAGACTCTGATTTTCAATTTGTTTTTTGTTGGTTCCATTGTATATATTTTAGGTATGACGGGTGCTCAGGTAATCCAGATGTTGGGTCAAAACTATAGACTCCCTCAACCATCTAACTGTCCATTGCAATTCTACAATATCATGTTGGAGTGCTGGAATGCAGAGCCTAAGGACCGGCCGACATTTGAGACACTGCACTGGAAATTTGAGGATTATTTTGTAACAGATTCTTCATATTCGGATACAAATAACTTTCTATGATGAACACTGAAGAGGAAGAACAAATAATGAAGCAGCAATAAAACCCAATGATCAGTTCAGCAATACAATCATATTAACCAGCTGTAAAAATGAATTTCTCTTCACATATTCAAGTAATAAGGTAAACTTGGCCACATGATATAAAAAAGATTAAATGTACATTTTACCAACTGGGCAATACCGAAGGACAGTCTAAGATGAAATATCATCTCCCCACTGCCTGGCCAAATCAAACGTACTAAACAGAGTTATTTTTCTTTTTAAAAGAGACTTACATTTCTATTTATTGTTTGAAATGCCGATCAAGAGGATCAACAGATGATACTCAATTTTTACTCAGTGACTGTTGTAGCATTTTCCTGTTTACTGATTAAAGTGGTTATTCATTATTCCTTGGATTGCTGAATCCCATCAGGCTGTTATTATGAAGGAATTTGATTGCTTTTCTGCACAGCAGGACCTGTGCTTTGAGATTTTTTTTTTTCTCATTTAAAATATCCTGTAACTACAATGATGGCAAAGCCATGTTAAATGACTTGATTGTACTTGGAGTAATTGCACATATTTTTTTCCCATGCATAAAAAAATGAAGCAGCTGTTGAGAAAAAGAATTAAAATCTCCCTCATTTTGTAGAAGGAAATGATGGAATTTTTCTATACCTCAATGTGTGTCATCTGAGATTCATCTACATTAGTTTTAGGCTCTTAATGTTAAGAATCAGATTGCAAAGCTGATGAGTTATTATCTATGGAAATATGCAAGAAACATCTAATAGCCTGCAAGATCTGAGAAATAAGTATCAAAATAGTTTAGGAAAACGAAGATCAGTAGGATTGCTTTATGACCTAGGATTTCTGAATAATAAAAAAAATGTACTTTTGGCATATAGGCCAGATTTTCAAACTGACTACAAAACAGGTCAAATTCTGCTTCAGATCTAGAAAATAAGGATCAGGAATAATAAGGTTTCATAACCTTGGTTTTAACACTGTATTTTTTGTCTGGTTAAGCCAAAAGGGTTTTTTACTCATCTTAAGTTTTAATTAACCTTTGCAAGAATCTTATTTCTTTTAAGCAGTTGGTTTATCAAGTTTTGTGCCTCATTAGATAAGTATAGAGAGTCCTCAAAGAAATATATGAAAAGATCTTCTAATGTAAAGCAATATGAATGAAACAATTCATAAAATTTTGAGTACATTGAGAATATTTTGAGTATATTCTCTCATCTTTCTTTAAAAGTAAGGAAGAGCATTTCTAAGCAGTTACGGAAGCCCCAACACAATGTAGATTAAGCACTAAGTAAATCTGTAACTCTCTAATTGGAAGACAGAAGTCATTAAAAAGGAGATAACAGGTCCCAGATGGGGAGTCGCTTGTGCTAAGCCCCAAGTCAGCAAACCTAGACCTAACACTTACCCTAATTGCAGTTTCAGCCTCTCCCAAGAATGTAACCTTTAACCAACCAATCAACCTGGAATTACTGGGTCAGCACAAGGGTGGTAATCTGCTGGATAGACCCCTTCCATCCCACTTAGGAGGACAACCTTGTCCAAAACAATGCATTCTTGGCTAATAACTTCCTTTCCCCACCCCCTTTCCTGTTTTTAAAAGTCCTTCCTTTTCTATGGCATGGCCTAGCTGTTTTCTATTTGTTAAATGAGATGCTGTCTTGATTCAAGAATCACTGAATAAAGCCAATTTGATCTTTAAATTTACTCAGTTGCATTTTTGTTATTTAGCAAAGGAGAGAGGGTTTCATGAACAATACCATTAGCAATTCAGTGATGTTCTTGTTGCCCAACTCTTTTGAGGCCCCATGGACTGTAACCTGCCTGTCTCCTCTGTCTATGGGATTTCCCAGACAAGAACACTGGAGTGGGTTGCCATTTCATTCTCTGGGGCAACTTCCTGACGCAGAGATCCAACCTGCATCTCCTGCACTGGCAGATGGATTCTTTACCAATGGCCACCTAGGTATCCCATCAATGGTGTTAACAAAGATCGAAGTCCTTTCCCAACCTTCCCTCTGCCATCAGCATTGTTCTCATTCCTATGATCACAGATGGCCATCAGAACCAACTGGGGTTCCCCTTTCTCCATCCAGCAAGAAAAATGGGATGTCTCTGTCTTTGCATTTTCAGTTGGATAAAAATCATTCTTCTTTTCAGGCAAGGTGGGGTCATATGCCCAGTCCTAGACCAATAACAGACTGTTTTGTGCTGACTTAGAATAAGTTTTGGGCTTCTGTGGTGGTTCAGATGGTAAAGAATCCACCTGCAATGCAGAAGATCTGGGTTTAATCCCTGGGTCAGGAAGATACTCTGGAGAAGGAAATGGCTATCGGCTCCAGTATTCTTGTCTAGAGAATTTCATGGACAGAGGAGCCTGGTGGGCTAAAGTCCATAGGGTCACAAAGAGTCAGACACAACTGAGTGACTTTTTTTCCCTCAGAATATGTTCTGCCACTGAAGCTGGGAATATGGGTAACTTTTCTGGAGACAGGCTGGGAGGTTGGCTTATCTGAATAAAATTAGAGAAGTCTGGGTAGGCGTCCATTAAGGAGAAAGTCCCCTAGAATGAAGTAGCTATGCTATATACATATAATAGTGTGTGCGTGTATCCACTTAAACTTTTTGAAACTAAAATGGGCCTTGTGGAGCTAACAATTATAGAGTCACTTGGTTCCTTCGTGTGTGTGTGTGTGTGTATGTGTGTTAGTTGCTCAGTGGTGTCCGGCTCCCATGGACTGAAGCCCGCCAGGCTCCTCTGTCCATAGAATTCTCCAGGCGAGAGTACCGGAGTGGGTTGCCATGCTCTTCTTCAGGGGATTTTCCCAACTCAGGGGTTGAACCCCAGTCTCCTGCATTGCAGGCAGATTCTTTACAGTTTGAGCCACAAGGATTATTGGACAGCAAATATTTGTAAGGGAAGGTCAACACTAATCTTTCTAATTATTTGACTATGTATAAGGTAACTTCAATTACTTGAAGTCAAAGAGTCTAATGCAAAGAGCAAATGATAAATAAACAGTTATTAGAAATTAAAAGAAAACAGCTCATTCTCTTTGAGCTTATTTCTAGGAGTTCAATCCTGCTTGAACATATATAGAAATGAATTAAAATATTCCCATTTCATTGTGAAAATTCAACTACTATATCATTTTCTTTTTGTAGTAGCTAATAACAATAAATTTTTTAGTAAGGTCTGATTTTGAAATGTAAAAAGAAGATTATCCTTTCTTGTTTTTATACTACCTGAAACCCTTTTGACTTAACATGTTTGATTCTTAGAGACATTTATGCTGAAGTTTCTGTCAAAGCAATCTATTATTCTTGTTTTTACCTGATGGATCATAGAGAAAAATAATAGATTCAGTTATGAGAAGCAGGAATAGATTTTTAAACTGATATAAATTTCCTTCCCTGTATAGAATAAAAGGATCAGGAAAAGATAAGTTGAATTCTCCTACAATGAGCCAGCCCTTGTTAAATTTACCTCCCATAAATTGAAGCAAAGCATTTTCTATGTAATGTTTTATTTATGTAATTCAATTATTTGGAGGTGGTGGTGAGGGATGTGAGTACGTAATTTCATGTGGTATTTCAAATCTCTTTTGACAAAAATCTAAGGAATTTTAAAATAGAAAAAAACCTCAAAATTCCAATAAGCCTCTCTTAAGAAGGTTATGAAGGAAATAGCTTTATGTTGTCTAAGGTCAAAGGAAGCATAAATCGAAGTGACCAGAAACCTGCAAACGGGGCGGTGCCCTGGGTCGTCTTAAAGGACACCAAAGAAACAGCCGTGGGGAAATCTCAGGCCGGGCACATCAACTCTCATGCTTTGCTCACAGTGTGTGTCTGCACGGTGCCTGCACGGATGGCTGGACTATAGGGGCCCCAGGTCTTTCCACGCCCTGATGGCCCAGTGGGAACCACTGCCCTTGCAAGGATGCCGACTGTCACCCAGCTGGTGTTTCCTGGAGGAAGCAAGGCTCAGCTGGGGACCCGTGGCTTTGCCAAGCCTATGCCCGACCTGCAATCCTGTTTTTCATGGTGAACTCGAGCATGTGGTTTCTGGTCCAAATGGCCTGGTTGGAAGTGTGTTTTTTGGTGACTTTTCAGGACTCTTCAGAAAGATATGTGAACTACAATGGTGATAATTTGGATACTTACTCAGATTGTGTGAAAGGCTACTTAAAAAAAAAAAAAAAGGTAAATGAGTGGAGTTGCCCGTGAGTTCATCTGGAAATACTCAGTTTTTGTATTTCCTGGCATCATTACAGAGAAGTTTTGGTCTATAGTCTTCAACATAATCCCCAAATTCCATGGAGTAGGCTAAAAAAAAAGTGGGACATTTGATGGAGAATACTTAGAAATCTTTTAAATCCATGATCCCAGAAATATTATAATTTTCACTGTATCATCCTTTTACTGCCTACATTGCCCTATTAAACTCCTTCAGATTTGCCTTTTTTATATTAAGGAACTGATGGTAAAACTCAAATTATTTATGACATATAGAAATGAACTGGAGAATAAAAATAATGTACAAACCTTGAATCTCAGAACTTTAACTAGTTTAGCTTCAGTCTGCACTCAGGTGATACTATCTATATAGGAGTTATGAGATTAAGTCATAAGGAAAGAGACACCCAATTATTTCCTTTTACTTTTCTTGCTTGGGTAGTTAATCTATTAGTCATCTAAAGCAACAGACTTCAGTGTAACATCTTTTTCATCCTCATAGAAAATACTCAACTCTTCCAGAAAAGGGTAGCAAATCTTGAACATGCCTTAACCATCTAGTTATATGTATTGCTGTGCAGGAGATTCAAATCAAATAACATAAGAATCATGGAATCATATGTTAGGGTGAAGTGGTTAAAAGCAACTAAAATTGCTTGGTTTGGAAGGATCTAAACATTGTCTAGGAAAATTTATTGAAATTTTAGAATAGAGGCTTTAATTGTACTAATTGTAAAGGAGAAAGTTGGTTGATATTAGCCAAATTAGGTTTAATTTTTATGGTCCACTCAATTTCAGAATAAAATATGTCTTAGCTTTCAATCATTTTTCAACATCTACATTTAATGATAGATTCAGAAAGTGAGAAGCAAAGAAGATTAGCCAGGTTAGTATATTTTAAAGGTATCTCAGTGAGATTTTTTTCTCTAAAAAATGTGTATTTCTATATTGTACCCTTTAATACTATTTATGTTGTACAATTACATGTGAGTGTATTACACATGATTAACTTATCTGTGTAACAAAAGGTTAAAAAAGACCTCTTTTAATTGTACCACTTGTTATAAAGCTATTACTTGTTGTTCAGTTGCTCAGTGGTGTCTGCTTCTTTGTGACCCCATGAACTGCAGCACACCAGGCTTCCCTGTCCTTCACCATCTCCCAGAGCTTGCTCAAACTCCTGTCCACTGAGTGACTGATGCCGTCCAACCATCTCATCCTCTGTTGTCCCCTTCTCCTCCTGCCTTCTATCTTTCCCAGCATCAGGGTCTTTTCCACTGAGTCAACTCTTTGAATCAGGTGGCCAAAGTATTGGAGCTTCAGCTTCAGCTTCAGTCCTTCCAATGAATATTCAGGACTGATTTCCTTTAGGATTGACTGGTTTGATCTTGCTGTCTAACAGACTCTTAAGAGTCTTCTCCAACACTGCAGTTCCAAAGCATCAATTCTTCAGCGCTCAGCTTTCTATTATGGCCCAACTCTCACATCCATACATGACTACTGGAAAAACCATAGCTTTGACTAGATGCAGCTTCATTGGCAAAGTAATGTCTCCGCTTTTTAATATGCTGTCTAGGTTTGTCAAAGCTTTTCTTCCAAGGAGCAAGTGTCTTTTTTTCAAGGCTGCAGTCACCATCTGCAGTGATTTTGGAGCCCAAGAAAATAAAGTCTCTCATTGTTTCCATTGTTTCCCCATCTATTTGCCATGAAGTGATGAAACCAGATGCCATGATCTTAGTTTTTTAAATGCTGAGTTTTAGGCCAGCTTTTTCACTGTCCTCTTTCACTTTCATCAAGAGGCTCTTTAGTTCTTCTTTGCTTTCTGCCATTAAGGGTGGTGTCATCTGCATATATGAGGTCATTGATATTTCTCCCAGAAATCTTGATTCTGGCTTGTGATTCATCCAGTCTGGCATTTCACATGATGTACTCTGCATATAAGTTAAATAAATAGGGTGACAATATACAGCCTTGACATATTCCTTTCCCAATTTTGAATGAATCCATGTTCAGTTCTAACTTTTGCTTCTTGACTTGTATACTGGATTCTCAGGAGGCAGGTAAGGTGGTCTGATATTCCCATGTTTTTAAGAATTTTCCACAGTTCATTGTGATCCACACAGTCAAAGGCTTTAGTGTAGTCAATGAAGCAGAAGTAGATGTTTTTCTGGAATTCTCTAGCTTTTTTTATGACCCCATGGATGTTGGCAATTTTGTCTCTGGCTCCTCTCTCTTTTCTAAATACAGCTTGAACATCTGGAAGTTCTCTGCTCACATACTATTAAAGCCTAGCTTGGAGGATTTTGAGCATCACCTTGTCAGCATGTTAAATGAATGCAGTAGTTTGAACATTTTTTGGTATTGCCCTTGTTTGGGATTGGAATGAAAACTGACCTTTTCTAGTCCTTTGGCTGGAGTTTTCCAAATTTGCTAGCATATTGAGTACAGCACTTTAACAGCATCATCTTTTA